TGTACTTGTGGTGCTATGTTAGTTAATTAGTTATAACTGTATTTTATTCTCAGGTGTATTGCACATGTAATTTGATTCTTTTCTTACTTGCTCACCACTCCAAAGTGGTTCTATATATTGTATCATATTCAATGTAAATTAATTTAGCAAAAAATAAAATTATAAAATACAGTCTAGCTCCCTGCTTCTGCATGAGTCTTCACTTTAGCAATATTATCAAACTTCAACTTGGTATCAGGGCCTACAATAGCTAACACTGGATCCAATGACAATACACAGTCAGCTTAGCCAACCTCAAGCACATTGATGCCTTCACTATTGGGAGGAAATTAGTTGCCATCGTTTAGAATAAGTCTCACCCAAGTTCCATTAGTAAAGCTTGATAGGAACAATTTTTTGTTGTGGAAGAACATGGTGATGATGCCCATCATTAAGGGCTATAACCTTGAAAGATTTATCACGGGGAACGAAAGCTTGCCCAGCAAAATTTTTGGCAACACAAACTATAGGCCTTGCTGGAACTACTGTCGAAATGACACTAAATACTGAATATGTGAAATGGATGTCTACCGATCAACTACTGATGGGTTGACTCTATTCATCAATAACCGTTGAGATCGCTATGAGAGTGATGGGATCTACAAACTCTTGTAACCTTTGGAATGCTGTCCAGGACAGCTTTGGGGTAATGAATAAGTCAATAGTTATTTTTCTTATCAGTGAACTTCAAAGGAAAAGAAAGTGTTCAATGAATATTGATCAGTACTTAAACACAATTAAGCAACTAGCAGATAATCTCGAAATTGCAGGAAAAGGCATCCCTCACAATAATTTTGTTACATAAGTGTTGGCTAGACTAGATGAAGAGTACACTCCTATAGTGGTTCAAAACAACAGCAAAGAGTCCATCTCTTAGCCTGAGTTGCAATCTGTACTGATGACTTTTGAGAGTCGAATTGAGCATCTTAATGCTGTGAAAAACAACCTCAATTGAGTCACACCTCAGCAAATTTCGTGCACATATCAAATATCAACAGAGGAGGTAGATCCAACTAAGGAGGAAGAAGCTACTACAATAGAGGCGAAAGAAGCAGAGGTAGAATTAGCAAACAAACTAAGAACAAAGGAACATCAATTAAGAAAAACTTGATAAGTGTCTCTCAATTAACATCTGATAATGGTGTATTTATGGAATTTCACTTCGATTTCTGTGTTGTTAAAGACAAACAAACGAAGGGGGTGTTGCTAGAAGGGAAGCTTAAGGATGGTCTGTATCAAGTTGAGCATCCGGATCAAGCCAAAAAAGCTTTTCTACCAAGATTCAGTCTATCCAAATAAGTTGAACCCCTCAACATCTGTTGTTAAGTCTAAAGTGTCTAAAACTACCACTGAGTATGAGTCTAGGTTGAAACAGTGTCATATAAGACTTGGACATCCCACAACCTCTGTGATGTCACAGGTACTTAAATCTTGTAATGAAAAATTCGATGCTAATGAAATCATTCAGTTTTGTGATGCTTGCCAACGTGGTAAATCATACTCCTTGCCATTCAAATTATTTGTTTCACGTGCATTAGCTCCTCTTGATTTAATTCACACAGACGTCTGGGGTCATGCACCTATAAATTCTACTTCTGGTTTCAGATATTACACTCTCTTCATCGACGATTATAGTAGGTATACATGGATCTATCCCATGAAAAATAAATCTGAAGCATTAAACGTGTTCATTCAATTAAAAAACCTAGTTGAAAATAAGTTTGATAGGAAAATCAAAGCACTCAAGTCTAACTGGGGAGGTGAATTTAGAGCACTCACTGATTTAGCTCTAAAGTCTGGTATTAATATACGTCTTTCTTGTCCTCGTACCTCAACCCAAAATGGTAGAGTTGAGAGAAAACACAGACACATAACAGAAACCGGTTTAGCTCTTCTTGCTCAAGCAAATATGTCTTTACATTATTGGTGAGAATCCTTTCACACGGTCACTTACCTTATTAACAAACTACCTACACCTATTTTCAAAATGAAAGCACCTTGTCAAATTCTAAACAATGAATAGGTTGAATAAAAGTCACTCAAAATCTTTGGTTGTGCTTGCTTTCCTTGTCTCAGACAATATCAAGAACATAAGTTCAACTTTCATTCCACAAAGTGTGTTTTTGGCTTCAATAACTCTCATAAAGGTTACAAATGTCTCAGTCCAACAGGAAAAGTATATATATCTAGGCATGTAGTCTTCAATGAAAATGAGTTTCCATTCCAGTCTAATTTTCTCAATAAAAGAAACGATTCACAGAAGTTCAAAACCATTATTCATTATCCACCTTTCCACACTCCTCCAAATAGTAGCCCAACTTGCTCAAGTGATGAAGCTCATTCTGATGCAACTCCAAGAACACCTTCTGGGTTTGATCAACCAAAAATGGCTGAAAACTTTATATCCGAGGAAAATGAGAATGAAAACACAGAGACAAATATTGAAGGCACCCAAATGGAAAGTCAAGAGGGAACTGCAAATGCTCAAATAGAGCAAACTAAAGCAAGTGATGAACTGGATTTGAATGTGGCAAAATAGGGGAATCAGATTGTAGAGCATCATATGATTACCAGAAGTAAAGCTGGTATATTTAAACCAAAAGTTTACTCAACTCAGTGCAAAAAGTACAACATGGAACAAAGCGGGCTAAAACCTAAAAATATACCTGAAGCTTTGGCAAATAAAGATTGGAAAGAAGTAATGGAGGATGAATACAAGACATTGATGAGAAATAAAACTTGGGAACTAGTACCACCTCTGATATGACAAAAGGTGATAGGAAACAAATAGGTTTTCAAACTTAAACAAGAAATTGAAGTACAAAGCAAGACTTGTTGCTAAAAGGTTTTTGCAGACATCAGGAGTTAATTACCATGAAACTGTCAACCCAGTTATAAATGCTTCCACTCAGAGGATAGTTCTTGCTCTTGCAGTCTCAAAAGGCTAGAGTATCAGATAAGCTGTTATTAACAATGCCTTCTTGAATGGAAAACTAGATGAAGAAGTTTATATGAGGTAGCCAGAAGGTTTTGTTTACAAAGCAAATCCCACATTTGTTTGCAAACTAAAAATGGTTTTTTATGGACTCAAACAAGCACCTAGAGCATGGTACGAAAAACAGAAGAAAACTCTTCTGGATTAGAAGTTTTCCAAATTAAAAGCAGATAGTTCCCTATTCTTTTACATGAATCAGAAACAAGTAATCTTTGCCTTAGTATATGTTGATGATATAATGATTACAAGTAATGATCAGAAGGTGTTGCAAGACTTTATTAATAATTTGAATGCACAATTTGAACCGAGAGAAATGGGAAAGCTACATTAGTTTTTGGGAATTGAGGTAAGAAGAGGTGAATCATGTATGCATCTCACTCAGATCAAGTATACAAAGGACATGCTGAAAATGTTCGATTTTGAGCATCTCAAACCTTGTGCAACGCCTATGACAGTAGGCAAGAATATCTCCAGAAGTGAAGGTGAATAGATGGCAGATCCTTCTCTGTACAAAAGTGCAATTGGTGGACTACAATACCTAGCACACACACGGCCTGACATAACTTTTGTTGTGAATAAAATAAGTCAATTTTTGCAAACACCTTCAAATGTCCATTGGAAAACACTTCAAAGAATTTTTAGATATCTGAAAGGGACTATTAAGCAAGGATTATGGATTCAATGGAGTGGCAAAATTTGCATAACTAGTTTTGTTGATGCAGACTGGGCATCATGCCCTGATGATAGAAGGTCAACAACAGGTTATTGTGTATACTTGGAATATACACTGGTGGCTTGATCTTCATCTGAAACAACACCTTGTGGTTAGGTCCAACACTGAATCAGAGTGTAGAGCCTTAGCACAAGCAGCTGCCGAGATAACTTGAATTGAATCATTGCTTAAAGAAATCAAGTTACACTCAGCTTCACCTCCTGTGTTTTGGTGTGATAATCTTAGTGCAAGTGTTTTAGTTTAAAATCCAGTTTACCATACCCGAATTAAACATATTAAGCCCCTGGATTTTTTTCATTCTCATTCTTCTACTCATTTTCTACTACACATTCCTCAATAAAATAATATTTTCCATCACATCAATAACTTTTTCTTCATTTTCAACCACATATTCCCCATCACATCACTTCAAAAAAATGCACTCTCTCATTTTAATGTGCATCAAACAAGTTTTAATTTGGATATACATTTTGTTAGGGACGAGATTCTTGAAGGAAAGCTGAAAATTCAATATATTCCATCATCAGATCAAATTGCAGATTTGCTAACCAAGCCCCTTTTACAATCTAGATTTATTTTTTTAAGGACAATCTTGGAGTTAAAGAATAAACTCCAGCTTGAGGGAGGATGTTAAAATATATTATCGCACCTCTGTTGTTGCACTTAAGTTCACGTGTTGAATGGGAGAATTCACTAGTTGCTAATGTGCACCTGTGGTGCTATGTTAGTTAATTATAACTGTATTTTATTCTTAGCTGTATTGAACATGAAATTTGATTCTTTTCTTGCTCACCACTCCAAAGTGGTTATATATATTGTATCATATTCAATGTAAATTAATATAGCAAGAAATACAGTTATAAAATACATTTTAGCTCCCTGCTTCTACATCAGTCTTCACCTCAACAATATTATCAAACTTCAACTCGAGCCGAATTGGATTGTCCATTTTAAACATTTTTCATTTAATTTGTTTAGAGTTTAAATAATATACGAAATGCATTTGAACTTTCATAATATAGAGCTAGTTGTCATTCTAATCAAGTTATAACAATTCGGCTAGCAAGAAAAGGAACTAGAGTTACTCGTACTTTGAATACAACTATATCCTTACATTTGTTGGGTTTGATATTCGATTGGCTCACCCGCATATCAAAAGCATTAAAATATATAAAAAGCACTCAAAAACCTCCATTTTGATGACAAAACCAGTGAGGAAGTTGGGACTTTGGGTTAAAATGGAGCAGTTGATGTCCTCCTGAGAGTGGGCTTCTTAGGACGTTGAGCAACTGCAGCTAGATAGGACTGTAATCACAAGTAAGCTAACACTGTCAGTCTCTTTCTCTTCTGAAGAAAGAGCAAATCTTCTAGTTCAATAAATAAACAAAACATTGTGAAGAAAAATGATACTTGTACAGATTTTTCTAGGAAAATTCCATTTGTACAAACAATGGATGACAATGGAGGTTAACAATTTCTCGCATGCTTGCAGGTCCCATGTGATTAAAAATTCCAAAATAAAAAGTGGGTCCTCCTATTGTGAGTGTTGGTCATCCTCCATTGTACATGTAGCATGAGTTTTTTAGGGGACTACGAGTGCTGAGTTGGTAACATCTCATTGGCAGGTTTAACTCTGTTTTCCGTCCAAAATGGAACGAAATCTTGCCAGCTCAGCATTTTGTAACCCCGCGTGTTATACCAGCATGTACAACTGGCATTTCTCATAAGTGAATGTTAAGTGTAAATCAAATTTTAGCTCCCGTTTCACTGTTTGGTACACATTAAGATTTTTATTTTCATTCTTCTGCTCATTTTCAAACCACACATTTTTCATCACATTAATAACTTTTCCTTCTTTTCCAACCACAAATTCTCCATCAATCTACTATTTCAGAATACATTTTTTCAAAATAATGTGGATCAAACACACCCTTAGCTTATTTTTAGTAATCTACTTATCAAACATGCCATAAAAGTCATGGTGAGGAATGACTACCTGTTGTTGCTGTTTCAAGAGCCTAGCATTTTCTTCCAACAAATTGGCTACTTCTAGCTCCAACTCATTAGTATAAGCCTGTATAAATAATACACAAATATGAGAAAGGAAACGAGAAAAAAAAAAGAAGTTGAAATCTTGTTAGATACTTACCTGCTTGCGAGCCCTTGAACGAACAGCTGACTCTCGATTCTTCATCATTCGCTTATACCGTCGGTCTCTAGAATTGTTGTCGGATTCTGAAAATCTCTTATTCCCATTAGCACCCAACAATCCATGTGAAGACACAGCATTCTCAGAACAGGTCTGTGAATTGGGCTGAGGCTGCAAACTTGAGTTTAGCTGACGAGAATCCAAGTTTCCAAAGAAGTTCAACTGATCAGGACTAGAATTCAAAGTGAGAAGTGTGGCCGGAGGTGGCGGCGGAGAGCCGAATCTGGAGGAAACAGCCGCAGTTGGAGGGTCTTTGTCCAATGGTCGAGCCAAGAAATCTTGAAAAATAGCTCCTCTGAAGCTGGTTCTGTTAGTATCCTCCTCGGAACGAAGAGAAGAAAGATTAATGTCATCCCAAACTTCTTCCATGGATTTTATATTTGCTGTTTATGGAGAGGCAAAGTGAAGAAATAGAAACAGATTGTTGGGCTATTTTGAGTTGAAAATATGTTTGTTTTGTCAAATAAGCATTGGATCATCATAGTTTCATATGAGTTTTGTCCAGTGGTTTTGTGTCAGTGAATTGTCATGTCGGTCAATCAGTTTACTCTGCCGCGTGTCGATATGTGACAGTTCAAACGTTTCTCGAGAAGCCAATTTAGCTGATGTTTGGTACAAAATTTGAGGTTGTTGGAGCCCATGTTTAAAACTCTTTTTTTCAAATATTTTGTAATAAAATAATATTACACATAGATCGAATTTTTATTTTAATTTTTAATTATTTATTCTTCAAAAATTACTATTCAAAAATGTATTTTTCTCTCAAAATGGAGCTCAAACCAAGGGCTTAATCATAGTATTTACGACTTTTCAATCACACATTTTTTCAACTTTTATCTAATAAATCTGACTTTAATTGCTAGGACTATTTCTTTTTTCTGTTGCCTTATTTGTTAGTTGAATCTTCTCCTGCCACCAAACCATTTCAACATTCGAATACCTGAATTCCTAGATTACTTCAAGAAAGAGTCAGCCATGTTAACAATCAAAGATAGGGGAAAATTGTCATACCTCGCCGAAGTTGGGAAGTTAATGGAGTTTCGAGATGTTGTTTTACAAACCTATGCTAAGTTGTGGAGCATAATTATGTACTGAAGACTCTACAATGTTGAACCAGAAACTTAAGGGGGGAACAAATATGCGATTTTGATCAGATTCAGGGCATAATTTTAGACAACGAGTAATTTGTCATTGTTAAATAAAGTTTTCTAAATAGTTCGAGAGAAGCCACCAAGCGATTTGTAATGATGGAGAAGCCTATCGTTGAGAATTCATCTTCGATGATGCAAGGGTTGCTATAATAAATGGAGGAAAAAAATCTAGACAAAAGACAAGACGTGGTGCAATTATTTTCACGAACCATTGCAAGGGAGATATGTTGGAGGACTTCAAAAGTTGAAAGGGATTGGCGGTGAAGTCAGGCGCATCAATGAATTGGTGTTCATGATGACTCAAAGCACCTCTTCTACCCCATTTGTTTTTTTCGAATTTATTTTTAACTACAAATTTATGAAATTCACAATTTTTATCAACTTTTCAATTTTCGTCAATTTTTATCAAAATTTATTAAGAATATTATTTTTAGCAAAACCAACCAGGACTAAATAAGATACTCAGTCAAACCAAGCCCCCGTTTGACAATCATTATTTTAAATTTTTTTTCTATATACTCATTTTTAATTACACATTCACGTAATAATATATTCTACACGTAAACCCAAATTTTTAATCACATATTTTCTAAAAATCACTATACAAAAATAATCACATATTTTCTAAAAATCACTATACAAAAATTTAATCACATATTTTCAAAAAATAATAAGAATATTATTTTTAATCACATATTTTCTAAAAATCACTGTACAAAATTTTATTTTCCTCAAATAATGATTGTTACAGAGGGGATGAATCTATTCTATATAGGAGACATAACTAGATTTTAAATCAACGAGAAGAATTCTTTGCACGAAAAAGCCAATTATTAATGTTGCAGCTTGCAAGTCCAGAAGTCATGTCACTCTGAACATTTGAACGTTCACTCTATGCATGATTCAGCCTCCATTTGTTTGTCATTTTCACACAAAAATTGTATTTCTTGGTCAAATCAAGCACATCCGCTACGGTAACTTTGTAATGATTTCAATGCTATATGCCCTTCCATGTGGGGGAAAAAGTGAATGTATTTGGTTTGGGTGAAGGGTATAATTGGCCACACATTCTACTTAGCCTCCGTTTGTACAGTGATTATTGTACTATGATGTCAGCCAACATGTTCCAACGTTCAATTTTTTTATAGAATAAAATTTGCCCCAAACGGAGGCTGAAATTTTGACTTCTTATTTATCAATTAGCCATGGGTTAAAATTTAGATTTTTATCAAATTCATAATCAACAATTAATTTTAAACACATGTTTCACATAATTCAAAAATTTTCAGTCATATAATTAATCAACTCTTATTAAAATCTAAAAATCTGATTTAATTTCTACTACTAGTTTGATTTTGATTTTAGAAAATTACTCCTTTTTATACTCATCACTTTAAATCACATTTTTCGAAAACATCATTTTCACGTCTAACTTTTTCTTACTTTTTTTTTTTTCCCCTCCCTTAGTTGCATGGTCATCAATCTATGGGTTTAGGTGCAGAGTGAATTATTAGCCAATTCATCTATCTTGACGGTCAAAAGATAATTTTTTTTTCTATTTAAAAAGACTATTATGCACGCACTTAATTTTAGGGGTTTATCTGAATGTACCCCTCACAAAAAAGCCGACCCCACCTGCATTAAAAAATTTCGACCCGTGGTCCCCACTTTTTGATGTGAGTGGGGTGTAAAACATTAGGTAAAATATTATGTACATTTAGCATGACCCTAATTTTAGATAACAAAATATGTGAATTTATTCACTCACGAACATAAGTCGAATAAAGAACTGATGAAAATATCTTGTGCTCTCCATAATTGGTAGGACTATTCAACCTTCATTTTTTGGCCTTTTTCCTGTTGCCTTATTGTTAGCTTTTACACGTGAATCTTCTCCTGCCACAAAAACCTATTTCAACATTCGAAAATCTGAATATCAAGATTTTCCTACTACATATATAAAAAGATGAATGAGGATCGACTGTTCCTTGCACAGTAATTAGTGCCATTTCCATTTTTAATATTTTTTTTTCTCGAACTCTTTCCCATTTTATCCCTTTGATAAATATCCTAACTTTTATATTTCCGAAAGCTAAAGAGTAATATAGATTTTTCCCTTATAGCCACACTTGTTGACTCTTTTATTCCTTTTTAATGGGTAGCTTCACGAGTACGTTCTCTCTACAGTCATTTCCATATCTCTTCCTTCACAACAAACAAATCATAGCAGTCTACTACATATTTTCCCATTTCTTCCTAAACAGAGAAACTCCTATCCCTGCGCTGGAACCCAGATCCCCGCGCTACGCGGAGACGTAAGAGAACTGCACAATTTCTACCAATTATCTTGGTGGGTTCTCCGAATTTTTTTTCTTGTTTTTCCCGTCATTTTATTACGATTTAAATAATTTGTGTTGTTGTTCGTTGTGATTGTAGATCCAAATCAACATGGGTTCATCGTCGCTGGTATTGATTTCAGGTATGTCGTTTTAGCTTAGGGCATGTTCTTCAGATTTTTTATTATTTATTCATTTTTATTTTTTTTGTGATTTTGTTGCGATTTAACTACCCTATGTCGTTATTCGTTCCGTCTGTCAGTGAAAACGAAACTCGGTTTTTTTTAACTAGACGTGTATTTAAATTTAAATCTTGTTACTTTTCAAGTTTACAAGAATTCAATTGTACTAGCCTAAGGTATGTCCGTTTCATATTTACTTTCGTTTCATGTATCTCTTTCACAATGATTTCCTCTTCTGTTCATCCCTCTCTCCGGCTTCTCGTCGCCTCCACCTCCATCGTACAAAAGTGTTCCACCTTCCATGAACGAGATCGATTTTGAAGGTGGTTTTTTTTTCCCTGATTTTACACTTTGGTTTTTTGTTCTTGGGCATTCAATTGAATCTTAATTGATTGCTTGATTTTAATTTTCTCTTTTGCCCGAGATCTTTGATTATTTCTCAGGAAATTTGAGCCAACTGAGACATATTTGTGAGGCTTCGACTGTTGGGTACTCATTTTTTCTACCCCTTAACCCTAATTGCTCTCTTTCTCTCGTGATCGTACAAAGGGCTTTACTGATTTTGTAATTGAGTACTTGAGTTGTTGCTTGGATTAACTCTTTTAATTTTTTTTAACTGATTTTGTAACTGCGTACTTGAGTTGCTTCTTGAATTATTTTTCTCTCTTTTAGGTTTTTTTTCCCAAATATAATGAACATTCTCACGTTCTGTGGCATTTATTTCCAATTCTCTAAAATGTGTACTGACATTTCTTTTTATTCTGTTTTAGAATTACAAGATATACTCCCTCAAATTATTCATCAATTGGGTATGCATTCCCTTTTTCCTTACGGTATGTTTTCTGGTCACTATTTCTACTGACTGACACAAGGTTGATTGAGAGCACGTCACCTTCTGGTAGTTTTTTGCATAAGCTCATGACTGGATTTATCAAGTATTACATGTTCTTGTGTATTGCAGGTTAGTACTATGTTTATATTGTGATTTTCCGTGTAGTGGTTACCTGAGTAGTCTAAATTTTTTTTTTAATTCAAATCATACTTGTGTTATAGGCTATCGAGCTGGTGTTTCTTGAAATAATATTATCTACGTCAAAGTACTTCTAAAACAACTTTGAATGTTTGAATATTAACAGTTTGTTTGTCTACCATTATGGGGAGGAAAATGATGTAATGAATAGTATTTTTTGAAGAATGTGTGATTGAAATTTAAAGTAACTTTATTAGTTTATGTGTAGAATGTTTTATTGAGTGAATATGTGGTGGAGATTGTTTACTGTAGCATATAATGTTTGATAAAATGAATGACAAACGAGAGCTTAATCTCATATTAAAATAGTGCTAACAATGACAACATATAAATTACTGTAGGTAAAATTTCGGATAACAGCACTGGCGATTTAGCAAATGATTTTTATCATCGTTACAAGGTAANTCTATAAGTGTATTTAATACCATAATGGGTGCACTTTTGGAGGAAAAGAAAGAATTTAAGGATGTGTTGTTTGTCTATAAAGAAATGGTGAAATCAGGAATTCTTCCAAATATCGATACTATGAACTACTTGTTAGATTCATTGTTTGAGACTGGGAGAGTTGATACAGCTTTGGATCTGTACAGAAGATTGGATAAAAAAGGATGTAATCCTAATAGTAGGACTTTTGAGATACTCATTAGTAGTCTTGTTGCTAGGAATCAAGTGGAAGAATAGATTATTTTGCTACACGAGATGTTTCAAATTGGATGTGAGCCAGATTTGAGTTTCTATATCTGTGTAATACCTATATTCTGTAGGTTGTAGAATATAGAGGTAGGCATGAAGTTGTTTAGGATGATGAGAGCTTCTACCATTTCTCCAGATTCAGCTACATGTGCGGCTTTGATAAATGGTTTGTGTGAATATCTTCATTTGGATGATGCTACAAAACTTTTTGAACAGATGATAGATTGTGGCTTGTCGTCTGAAGAAGAAACTTTTTTGGATATAGTAAATAGTTTATGTAAATTAAATAAATTTACAGAAGCTATTATATTTTTGGAGGAGAAAAATGTACTTGACACTTCTCCATACAATACACTCTTGAACCCTTTTGTGCCACTGGTAATTTTTCTATGGCAAACATTATGTTTTATAGAATGTTTGGGATGAATATAACTGATTCTCCAACTTGCAATATCTTTATCAGATTCCTTTGTGAGAATGCAGCAATCAGTAAAGCAATGGAGTTTATATGTAGGATGATTGTTTCTTTTTTTGTTCCTGATTCTGCTACTTATTCTACTCTTATTATTGGTAACTGCGGAATGGGGAAGTTTGAGGTTGCTTTGAAGCCCTTCTAAGTCATTCTATTCTAGAGTCTGTACTGTACATGATATTTGATTGAAATAAATTTTGATGCTATCTTCTTTTTGCTTAAGAATAAATGTCCATGTGCTTGCATGAGCGAGTGACTTATGAGATGATCCATGATGATATTAACTTATAATTTATTTTTTCTTTATCCGAACTTCAGGTGCCTAATGTTTAAATTTAATGTTGTTTCCCATAAATAGATCCTCTTCTATCATTTTGTTTTTTTTTTTGCATAGTGATCTTTAATACAAACACGTTGTTCCATACCTATGAGTTTTACATTATCGCTAAATATCATTTACTCTTTCTTTTACTTTCATTTCTACGCTAATAAAAACACAATAAATACAGAACTCGTGCAACGCACGAGTCACCAACTAGTACTTAAAGAAAGCTGGATGAGACAAATTTGAATGGCCCTAGTCAGCCATGTTAACAATCAAAGATATGGGAAAATTGTCATACCTCACAGAAATTGGGAAGACATACACGTTCCTTAAGATGGTGAAGGAGAGTCAGGATGATATTTTACAAACCTACGTTAAGTTGTGGAGAGTTGATAAGCGGATCGACCTTAATGATAGTTTAGGAATTTTACATTTGTAATTTCGATTTTCTCACAATTTGTCTTATAAAGAGGGAACCATCATTACGATTTGTATTAATCGTTAAAAAGAGAGATGTTAAAGAGAATTGGGTGTGCGACTTTTTCTCAATAAACTTATTTTTACCATAGTGAATTACTGAAGCGAGGAATGAAGACATAGTTTCACATTGAGGTGAACCTATATAAATCTTGTATAACTTTTTCTTTTGCGATTTTATTGCTCTCGGTATGATAGATTTTAGGGTTTCTAATTGTCAACAACCTATTTCAGCGTAAATAATATTTGTTTTTTGACTTCATTGAGTGCTACGGTACCATTAAGCACGGAGCACAACCATTATCACAAGATTGAGATGGTGTGTGCAGGGACAGAAGCAAACATTTTAAATTAAGGCACAATCAAACCCTATACATATCGAATACTTGACCCGAAAACGCAGATTTACATTTTAAAAAATAATCATTCATTAATATTTTTGCTCATCGGAAGAAAATGCATATTCACGTTTAAATAATTTATAGTGTATTTGATACAAACAATCAATTCAAGTAATTGAAAGGAAAAATATATTGTTATGTTTCGCCACCTAGGCTCCCACGTGGCTCTACCGACCCACCGAAGTATCTTCCACCATAGCATCCGATGCGGAGTATGATCTACCAAAGTCCAGATAATTCGACCCACCGAAGCCCACTCATAACCAAGTACTTCACAAAGCCAACCCATTCCAAGGCCCCTATGCTAAAGACAAATCTGAAGATCAAAAGAAACTTCTTTGCCGAAGTGGCGATATCCAACGAAGTAGAATCCTAGGCTCAACTAAGGCTGGTGGTGATCCATGTTTGAAGATCTTGAATTTATGAAATCATTTTGGAATGATTGATTAGATTGTTGTAATAATAAGTAAAAATGTCAATCTTGTAGCATGGGTTATGAGGTGGCTGCCTTCTTTTTGGGACATTTAATGTGCCACGGGCTAGTGGAGTTAAAATTGAAGTAGCTGCCTTCTTTTTGGGACATTTAATGCGTCACAGGCTAGTGGAGTTAAAATTGATACCTAGATGTGATACTTCGTTAAAGGAGATGAAGTCACGTGTCCTCCCATCCAATGATTACTATTTTACATGTAACACTATAAATATCTATCTTTTATATCATTTGGAGGTAATGCAAAAACATTGACTACAAGCCATATATTTTCTTTCTTTCGGATTAATCTTGGCTTTCTAGTGTCTGAGGTGCGATCTTGATTGTAAGTTAGGTTCTTGATTGATTGTTCATTATCGTGTAAGTTATCTCATATATTTTGCCGCAGTCCGAACATTATTGTCTCGTGTTATAAAGCTTCTCTCACGTCCAAACTCTATTTTATTGTTGATTGACAATTGTTCCACGGGTGTTGGAATTAGTTTGGGAGAACGCTAGTGAACTCGATATCTGTTGTCTACATCAGCGGTGCAAAGAACGAGGTCAACACATATAACCAATGTTCAATACGAATAATCAATCAAATAAATACAATTCTTTAAATATAAGTCAAATTGGACATAATCATTTCAAACACATTCTATATACACAATTTGATATCAGAAAATGTAAATTTAGGTTCTACTTAGTTAAAAATTGGTTGAGAAGTGAAGATTTGTAGTAGATGTAATAATTTGTAGAAATTTAAAAAATTTGAAGGGTTAAGATTATGGTAAAAGGCATGAGGGAGAGAGTCATACGAGGGTAGGAGAAAAGAGAAAAAAATTCAAATTTATTGTAATTTTGCCTCCGTTTGGTGGGAATTAAAATCAATTTTTTAATAAATCCCTCATTATCTTAAAAGACTCAATCTCTCATTCACTGTTCATTTTTGTCACACGAGTTTTCACACTTACCCGTTTCCAATCTGGTTTTGGTACAGTACGTAGCCATCTTTGTTGACTATTGCAGTTGGAATTATATAAATATCTTCTACATATCTCTTCTAAGAAATATCTTCCAATTCATTCTTCCACTCAAATCTTTTCAATTCTCACTATTTGTCTCTCACTTTCTCTCTCATTGGCACCGTGAAGTTCCTTGAGTAAGGTTCAATTCTCACTCAATTCTCATATTTCTGTGTACAAAATGTTTAAAATCGTTGATATATTATGTATGTTTGCCTAATGAATACGTTTTGAGTTTTGAGTAATATACTGCGTTGAATTTTTGGGGATATTGGTTTTTAGCTGATTTGACTCGTTCAACTATATTGGGGTTCTGGGTCTATTGACTTTTGGGTAATTAGTTGTTAGAAATGCAATCTGAACATTTTCCTGTGTAAGTGGTGAAGATTTAATGGATGTAAGATAAAGCTTTGGAGGAGCAAGAGACTTTCTTTTATTTAGCATGATTTTGATTTACTACGTTTGCAGAAAGGGAATGGAGCGGGCACGATGTCCGCGATGTGCTGACACCATGGAACTAGCGTCCACACACTGCGAGCACGATGTCCTGGTGTCCGCACACTACGGGCACGGTGTCCACAATGTGGAGACACAGTGGAACTGGTGTCCACACACCGCGAGCACGGTGTCCTGGTGTCTGCACATCGCGGGCACGATGCCTGCGATGTGCCGACACGATGTCTACGATTTGCGGACACCATGGACCTGGTGTCCGCACACCGTGGGCACGGTGTCCGCAATGTGCAGATACGGTGTCCGCGATGTGCAGACACAGGGAACTGGCTGGTGTCAGCACACCGCTGACACCAATATCTGTGCAATGCGGACACGGACATTTTTTTTTACTAACTTTAAAGATGGTAGCTACATTTTTTAAAATGAATATAAAAAATAATAGGACGCGTTTTATTTAAAATTGAAAAAAAGGTTAGTTGAAATCAACAAAAACATCCCTATGGCAAACACTGTGGAATTGATTTTTTTCTTGAAATTTATACTATGAGTCTATGAGAGAGTTTTTAATGAAGGTAAGAAGAGTTTAATCATTAATATGCCTAATAAAAAATTGGTGATTGTGTTTCTTAAACTTCAATTTATTATTTTGTGATTTAAGATTCTACCTTGCTTTGGCATTGTTTTATTTTTTTATGGGGTTGTGAATTATTAGCTTTTTTGTAAAGAGTTGGAGGATTGCCAGAATTACTTCTCAACTCAAACATTTACAGCATAAGTGAAATGTATGAAAGCCTAATGACTTTTGTTTTTGTTTCTACAATCTGAGTATAGATGTTGCGCTCAGAGAGACACGGATTTGCCCGAACAAAACAAGGTTAGAGAATATATTCTTCCCCTTATTAATGGCAATATATATGCTACTATTTTTCTTGTGAAACTAAAAATAGTGTACTTTTCTTTTATCTTTACAGTTGAGTTGACCACTAACGTATCTAATGGGAATTTAGAAAAAGATTTCTCGCACATAATATCTCGAATGGAGATTGAGGATCTTCAGAGCCTCGAGTTGAAAGACAAAGAGAGACGTTAAAAACAAAATAAAAGACAAGAATAAAGAGGACGAAGAAACGAAGACGACAGATGAAAGAAAATGAAACACTAGGTGGCTTAACTTGCAAGATTCGACAGTCTGATAGGCCGAGGGAATGGTTACAAAGTTAATAGACATAGCATGGATGGGAATAGTTCAAAATATGTAAGATGAACTCAGAATTTTGGAACTTTTTTTTTCTTTTTTTTTTTGGTACCAAATAATGTATTTAAATGCACATTTACATGTTAGCCAATTCTACTGGCAGATTATTTATTTATTTATTTATTACATTCTTCAGGTTTTTTCTTTCTTTTTATTTTTTATTTTACTTGCTCCGCAGTGTGCGGAGAGTTGCTCGTTTACAATTTTTTTTTAATCTTCATTTTTTTTCTTTTACATACATAAAATCAAAATTGTATTAATTTGATACATAAAATCTTTTACATACATAAAATCAAAATTCTACTTATTTACATTTTACACAAACTATAAATACAATTTCATTTATTAATAATTTAATTCAAAAACATTAGAAAATATTCAATTCCATACATACATGAAAATCAAAATTCGGCATTGCCCCCGAACCCTCACGAGGGGCGCTGCCCCCTCGACCCCCGCGATATTTGGTTCACTTGACAAGTTTAGGCGGAGGAAGCAAAGAAATTGGAGAGATCTTCTTTAAAATCTATGGAGTCTGTCACGAAACAATTTGAAGGAAGCAATGATTTATTGCACGATGCAGAATCTGAGATCGCATCCTTCAAAGAAAAATGGGATTACTAGAAATCACAATTAGAAAAATCTGGATGTGTCACGGCTCATCGGCACGTCGATATCCCATCCATTGCTACAATAAAATCTTATCAATCCATACAAGAAAAAAATTTATTTAATTTTAGATGTCAAATATCCCAAGTGTGCAGCCTTTCCACGCAATAGGTTATCCTCTTCACCTCATACTTGCTCTTCAAATTAGATGAGAAAGGCGATTTAATTTATCTGAGTATTATTCATTGTATTCTTGAATAACTTATGTGTCTTATTTGTATGTCCAGTCGCAAGTATGTTGAGCATTGTTCAGCAATAACATCCTTTTATTCAATTCCTCCTCATAAGCATCCCCCCATTTCCAATAAAGGGTGGGTGCATGAATGACCAATTAAGGGTTAGGTAAGTGAATGAATACTTTTTAACTTTTATCCTTTTCCAATTGAGAACAGACAAAAAGGAAAATATATTTTTAACCAGTGTTATGTTTCTCTCAGATGCATGAGCAGTGACTTTGGTAACTACCTTTTATCACACCTTATGGGTTCGATATTTGGCATGCATCACAGAAGAAATGTTGAAGCCGACATAAGCTTGAGATAAAGAGCTTGTTGGAATCAAGAGGCATATGTTATACTTCTCTGAATTGTGGACCATTGAACTATACAAATGTGTGTGAAAATTTTGTAATATAATATCGCATCAATCGTTAACATTCAAGGCGCTAAAATTTCCTTCAAAATAACACAACCCATGCATTGCACGAGCCAAAAACTAGTTTTAATAAAAGATGAAATGTTGTTAATTCCATGAAATACATTATTAAAATTAATTGTTAACTATGATTTATATTAAAATTTTGATTTCATTTCATATCAAACAAAATTTTATCCCAAAAAAAAAAAATTCTAAAATTCCCAAAAGTTGGGAAGACACGTGCCCCTAGGACTCCCTTGTGTCAGCCACTGGGTGTGTGCTAAAGATGCTATCAAAGTTGAACACAGGACTTGGGACAAATATGCAATTTCTTTGTTAGGTAGAATGATGTGTTTGACAGATTCGGGGTAGGATTTTAGAAAACGGAGAATTTGTCATTGTTGAATGAAGTTTTCTAAATGGTTCGAGAGAAGCTTCCAAACTAGAGGTAATGTTGACGAAGCCTATAAGCGAGAATTCAACCTTAGATGCTGCAAGGCTGCTATTAGGGAAGATGAACGGAGAAAAAATCTAGACAAAGACAAGATGTGGTTCGATTATTTTCACGAACCACGCCATGTTCGAAACTACATAGAGAACTTCAAAAATTGAAAACAATTGACATTAAAGGTCGAAGTCAAACGCGTCAAAGCATTGCTGTTCAAAATGATTTGAAACTCATCTTTAACTCCAATTTTTTAAAACTCATTTTACTCACAAATTTTATGAATTTTACAATTTTTATCTGCTTTTCAATATCACATTTCATCATTTTTTTTAATCAAAATCTATTAAGAGTGTTATTTTTAGCAAAACCTACATGGGCTAAATAAGATACCCAATCAAACTGAATGCACGTCTGTCTGATGCAGATTTTTGTCCATCAAAAATGGCTTTTCTGCCTGTTATTTTCAAAAGTGGCCAACAATTTTTGACTACATGTGAGTTAGGTGGGACCCGCCAGCCATTGGTAACGGTCAAAAAAAGGCTAAAAATGGAAGCATTCAGCCGCACTAGATAGTAGACAAAACAAAGATTTTAAATAAATGAGAAGAATTATTTTCTTCCAAATCTTCAAGAAGACATCTTAATGGAGAGAACCTAACATAGATCAGAATCGTGAGAATGTTATAGATTTCGTTTACCAATACTTCGTGTTTCAAGTAAGTACGTATTGATTCAATAGGAGATACAAAATTAGTACTAACGGGAAGCTCGTACTCTTAAATTAGGAGTTGTGTGGTGTTGTTAAAATTTTACAATAGTCGACGAGTTCCATGAAATCTGTGGTGAAAAAAGAGCATAAAATTTATGAATTCCATGAAATATGTGATTAAAAATGAAATTGATCAACTTTTTTAGCGAATAAGCTTAGCAACAAGCACTTTGGCTAGAGATTGTTTGACAAAATTTTTAATAAAAATTTATAAAAATGTGATGGAAAAGTTAATAAGAATTGTGGTTTTTATAAAATGTACGGTTAAAGTTAGTTATTGACTTGATATCAACTTTTTAATAGCTTCTAAAGATTTTCCAAACAAACACTTAGAACCTACGTGACAAAGCTTTCCATAAATTTTTGAAAAAAAATTAATAAAAAAGGAAGAAATGTGTTAAGAATATCTGTGATCTCATAAAATGTATGATTAAAATTAAAATTTGAAGAGTTAAAAATTAATAAAATAATAGAAAAGTTTTATCAAACAAATACTTAGGCACGGTTTGAGGAAATAAAGTTTGTAATAATAATTTTTTTAAGAGAATGTGTGGTTAAAAAGTAAATAAATAAATAAATTAAATTTACATATAAATTAATTTATTGAAAGAATGTAATTAAAAATAAGTTTGATAAAAATAAACTTTCAGAAATGGAGTGAAATATTGGATAAATCGCTGAACTTATGTCACGAACTACTCACTCAACTTCAATACGCTTCAACTTACTCAATGAACTTTTCCCGTTTGCACTCCACCCATTATCGAAGAAAAATCGTTACCTAACTTGCCGACATAGAGGACGAAATTTTGATGTGGTGATAATTAAATACATGCCAAATCACCTCTAACATCCTAATCAGAGTATAAAAAAAAAGAGCCGTGCTACAGTGCCCGTGGGGGTGACCGAACGGGTGACCGCACACACTTACATGGGGGGTGGGGATTATTTTATTCACGTGGGACCCGCGCCTCGGCTGTGTGGGTGTGGTCATCCTTGCGGTCACCAGCGCGGGTCGTTTAGCATTTTTCAAAAAAAAAAAGGAGAAGCAAAACTAAACACACCTCCGACCATCTTCTTAAGAACTCCCGCAGCCACATCTCCATCTTGCCGCTACAACTCTAGCAACCATGACAAACCGACGAGAATTGGCCTTCAATTAACAACCTATAACAACACATGATTCTCTCTACCCACACCTCCCGCATATTGCCTAGAGCTATAGAAACCATAAAATACGAATATCTTTACCACAACAGAGCACACTCCAGAAAATGGACTAGCACACACAATTACCCCGAATAAGATGCTCATCATGACTGCATGTGTTGCAACTTTCCATATTATCAACCAACCCAATGTCCTTGAGCAGATAAGAGAACTAGTTTTTAAGGGAATAAATGAGTTTTAGAGTTTGAACACACAGGAAAATTTTCCAACAATATTCATAATCGGACTGATGCCTTTCGGCATCTTTCCAATCCTCATAAGCCCGAAGCAAAAGAAAGCAAGATGGTCACTAAAATTGCATGCAGAAAATTGGGCCTCTGCAGAATCAGCAAGCTGCAAGAAGAGAAGAAGAGATTACAGAAAGGTAATTTCCTCCATTGATGGGTCTCTACATTTGAAATATGACACCCCACTCATTAAAACCTTGGAAAAGCCATGTTTAACGCGACCCATTTGATTTGGAGCTCCGTTCGCCACCGTTTATTTAACATGATCCATTTCGATGCAGCTCTGACCATTGGAGTTTTATCACCGGAATTGATTTGGAGAAAATGACGGAGATGATTTAGGGAAAATGGCGTCTATTATGTTTTCAAGGAGGAAATAAAAAGACGTTTTACACTATTGAAGTTGTCACAACATTTTTGCTGACATGGATTATCAGGATGATTTGGCATGTGTTTACATACAGTTAACGAAAATGCTGAATGTCCCGACTCAATGACCGGGACATTTGACAAGGCGCCGAGGTGGCGCCCTGTTATTGGAGGGGGACTGACTTCGGTCAGCTCCCCCTCCAATTGTATAGTGCCACCTCGGCAACTGTATTTTGGCCCGGTCATTGAGCCGGGCCATGTAGCATCACTCTACAGTTAATTGCCGCGCTTATTTTATATCATCCACGTCAACAAGTTAGATAACGGTTTTATCCCGATGATGGATGGAATGTAAATGAGAAAAATTCAATGAGTAAATTGGAGTATTTTAAAGTTGAGTGAGTAGTTTGTGGTCATAGTTTGAATTCAGTAAATTTTCAAACATTTTACTATTAGGGTGCTTTTGATAGTTAAATGTGGAAATGAATTCACCTAACCAATAGGAATTTGTTTTCCATAAAAATAAAGAAAATATAGTTTAAAGTGGTTGTATTTTTGAATTTGGTTTCCATTTCCACATTGTAATCAAATGGTCAAAGTAAAATCCATTTTTTTCAAATGTGATATTTTTTATGGAATTCGTTGCAATCAAATAGGGTTTTAGAGATAGAGACAACTTAAAAAGTTAAAGAAAAACTTATTAACCCTGTTTGTTTCATATTAAAACTAAATTTTAATTTAAATTAAAGTCAAACAATCAATATTAACTACATCTTTTATGAGTTCCACAACTTTTCAATCACACGTTTCAAAAATTTCTATCACAATCTAGTAAAAATCTAATTTTAATCCCTACCAAATACTAACTAAAAAATGTTGGGCCCAAGTGGTCGGTCAGTGCTAGATGTCACCTCCTAGCGAATGGGCTGGTTCGTGACCGGTTTGCATGTCTAACCCACAGCGCAGGGACTTCGGCCCGGGTTCGTCCTTTATAATTAGACGGTCCAGATATTCTTTAACATACCATCTTTGTATCTTAGCCGTTGATGAAATAGGGTTTTCATTCTTCTCACACCTTTTAAACCTCGTATGCGCCAGGGCCGTCTCTTAGATTTTCTCAGTGCGGAAGCTAGGGTTTACCTGGAATACACTCTAGCCCTTTAGTCGCTCTACTGAGGTACACTTTTGAATTAAATGGTTTTAATTATTTACTGTTATTTTCATCTGGGTTCTAATTAGTTTCTCGTGAAGCTCTTAAAATTCAATCAATTCTAATTTAGAAAGCTTTTTACCTGACTCCTCTCTTTTTTCTTGTTTTCGATTAATTTATTAAGCTTTAAACCTGTAAGCATTGAATTAATTTCAGTTTAATCCATTGCTTTCATCTGCGTTCTTTTTAGATTCTTTTAAATCTCTTAAAAACTAGTTAAATATCATGTATGGCCTTTGTTAGACTTTTTTTCTTCTATATATGGCCTTTGAATCAATTTACTTTATTTTTTAGCCGAGCTCCATTGTATTGGAATATTTTTGCTGGCAATGTTGTACTTTTTGCTGTTCTTTGAGGAACAATTTGTATGTTCTGTCGTTACCTTTTAAAGCTAACAGTTTTATTAGGTAGCGGGTATTGAATTCAAGGAAATAAGGCTGTAATCCTTTGAAAAGAAGTTAATGGCGATTAAGGTCTTCTGATGGATTCTTTGATATTCTTTAACATACCATCTTTGTATCTTAGCCGTTGATGAAATAGGGTTTTCATTCTTCTCTCACCTTTTAAACCTCGTATGCGCCAGGGCCGTCTCTTAGATTTTCTCAGTGCGGAAGCTAGGGTTTACCTGGAATACACTCTAGCCCTTTAAGGTCTTCTGATGGATTCTTTGATGTTTGTTGCAAATGATAAATAGCTTTTGTTTGTGATTATTAATATGGGAAAATGGGTCTCAATAGATTAGTTTTGCCTGCAAACTCTATTCTTATGCTCACAAGTTATTAGCAAGGATTTTGTAGGAGTAATTTATAAATTTTGACTAAAATAGTGCCTGAATGTAATCATTTTCTACAGGCAAAATGGGAGTAACCCAATTTTTGAGTTAAACCCTTTAAATTTGATGAAAGTGGACGTTCTTTTTAACATCATCTGATTAGAACAAGCAATTTAGTTACAAACACATTTTGGTTTTTGATAACTAGTTGTAAATAAAGTTAAAATCGAAGCTGTTTTTGAGAAAAATAATAAAAAAATGTATACGGGATGATGTTTTATGTTTCCTTGTATGCACATGTAATTTGATTACTTTAATCTTTTAAACTAAATCGGAAGAATTTAGGGCTCTATTTGTCAATTCATATCCTTTGTATACAAACCAGATCTTTCAAGATGTACACTGCATTGCAAAAGATTCACAAGGACAAGGATGCTGAGCCCACCGAGTTTGAGGAGACTGTTGCTCAGGTCATTACTCCATTGATGCTACTGGATTCATCTCTGTTATTCAGCCATTAAATTTCTACTTGTGCAATTTGTGATGATTTCAGTTCTTGATGTTTATGTAGGCTCTGTTCGACTTGGAAAGCACAAATCAGGAGATCAAGAGCGACTTAAAAGATCTCTACATCAACTCTGCCATGTAATAGTTATCGTAATTAACATGTACTCATTGCCTAATCACAATTTTGTAAAACATTGATAATCTTCTCATTTTATATTCTGCAGGCAAATTGATGTTTCTGGAAACAAGAAGGCCGTAGTGATCCATGTTCCTTATCGCCTTAGGAAAGCTTTCCGCAAGATTCATCCTAGGCTAGTAAGAGAGCTCGAGAAGAAGTTCAGTGGAAAGGTAATACTGATACTATTTTGTTATGTTTAGAATTTGGAACATTTATCTTACCGAGATTTGTAATTGAGTTCCATATTATTTTGTGCTGCAAAATCCCTCTTCTATTAAAAGAGGGAATCATTAGTTTACTATTCCCATTTTATCCTCCCTCCCTCTTCATAAGAAACAAAACGTTGGGTAATAAATTGTTTTGAAGAAGAGAAAAAGGAGAATCTCTGGTAAAAAAATGTAGGCGGTGGAAGGTCATAAGAAACAAAATATTGGGGGAAAATTTATTAAATTGAAGAAGAGAAAAGGGATAATCAAATTATAATAAAGATTTGGTCAAAAATGTCGATGGCGAAAGGCGGTATTTTCCTTAGTGAAAGGCGGTAATTGTATTTTTCTTATTTAGTGAAAGGAGGTGATTGTATTTTTCTTATTCTTTGCATTTATATATAAAAAAAAATGGTTCTCTCTTCTTCACCGAGAACAGGCAACAAATGAAAATGCATTCGAAAAAGATAAGAAGAGAAAAGGGTGAAGGCCATAAGGTACGATAAAGATAAGGAACCTGAATTAGTTGTGGGTTTGCTTACTTATTACTGATAATTCAATCTAAAGTGTAAATTTTTTGAGATTATTGTGATTTTCTAGATGAAATATATGTGTTAACTTTGAGCATAATATGTGTATTTGGTTAATTCAAGTTGGAAATATAAATAAAAAATATGACATTAAAGATAAATGATGGGATTAAACATTAGTGTATGTGTTTTTGCTTTTGTTTTATCATATACATCCTTATATGAAAGTGTGTGTGTTTTTGCTTTTATTCGTTTAGTTTGGATGTTTATAGTTTTTATATTTAAGATTAAGAAATTACAATTTATGCTATGTTATGTACTTATGTTACATACTGGAATTGGTTTGAATTGATTTTTTTTTCTTTTGTTTGTAAAGTTAAATTTCTACTAATTAAATAACAACAATAAATGAATAAAAATTATCCCTTCATTTACTTATATTGAAGTTACAAAAAAAAAAATTGTAAGCTTGCAGGATAAAGGTTTTTTTTGTAAGGCCATTAAAAATATTATTATTTTTCCTACTGTCATCGTCTTTAGTATTTGTTAAATTTTTTTTTTATTCCAACGGATAAACCCTTCAACACATATGGTCCCCTTTGGGGGGCGTTGCCCCCGAACCTCCACGAGGGGCGCTGCCCCCTCGACCCCTACGACCTGTGTGCGAGTCGTTTTTAAGGCCAAAATTCACTGTTTTCGCTTCCAAATCGTCAAATTAACTTATTTTCTTCTTTTTACCGCAAGATTTCGTGAGCCACATTTTTTTTATATCTTTGTCTACATTATCAAAATACATGAAATAGTAGTCAAGTTGATAGTTACATTTAGACACACAATGTTAAATTAAACAACACCCAACTTTTCTTGAAAATTAGACTTGACTCAACAATGTAACTTTCACCTCCAAATAAAATTTATTTTACATCAAGTGCAAATTTATTGGGATAATTTAAATTGCCCATATCTAACATTCAAGATGTAATTCACGATAGTTTAACATATTTAACACACTAATGATACCTTCAAAATAAAGAAACTAGTTTTGATGATAAAAAACCAGCTTACAAGATTTGGTGGTTATTTCTTCATTCTTAAATTTTTTAATGATTCGCACCAGGAATAACATGAACTGCAATTTTTTACTCTGTTGGGGACATCTTTTTTCTCAGTTTTCCTTCTTATAAATTCCGTACTAGGTTTTCTAGGAATTAATCTTGTAACCCTTTCAATAAATCTGATCTATATTTATAGCAGGGGAAGTTGCTTCGAATATCTTTGCTCTGGGGTCCAGCCTGAGATGGAGGCTGCACATTTTAGTTTCTTCTGTATTTCTTTTTAGGAGTTGGCCTTTTACTACATTGTGTCAAGTTTTGAGATCTTTAAAAGTGTCTTTTGAGGAGCAATTGTTAACCTACCTCTGGCTCTAATTAGGATGGTGGAGCAGTTGGCAATATATAAGATGGCAGAACTGCTTTAAACTGAGAAAATTGAGATAGTATTTATTTTATGTCAACCCACGTCTGGCTCTTATTAGGAAGGCGGAGAAGGTTGTAATATATAAGATAGCTGAACTGCTTTGAACTGAGATAATTGAGATTGTATTTTTCTTTTCATATGTTGTATTATTTATTGAAGCGCTGAAATCTATTTGCTCGACGAGTGTTTTAAAAGCTCTCTGCATACATTATACGCTCGTTGCTTTTTAACAGGAAGTTGTTCTTATTGCTACCCGAAGGATATTGCGGCCACCAAAGAAGGGTTCTGCCGTTCAGAGGCCTCGTACCCGTACCCTTACAGCTGTCCATGAGGCTATGCTTGAGGATATAGTTTATCCCGCTGAAATTGTTGGGAAGCGTGTCAGATACAGACTTGATGGATCAAAGATAATGAGGGTAACCAGTGCATCTTTTCCTCCATTTATTTTGATTTCTATCTTTAGCTAACATTCCTATGCAAATGTGTTGTAATATTCATCTGCGCATGGCAGGTTTTCTTGGATCCCAAAGCGAAGAACGACACTGAAACTAAGCTGGAGACTTTTGCTGGAGTATACAGAAAGCTTTCGGGGAGAGATGTTGTCTTCGATTTTCCAATCACCGAGGCCTGAAAAGCCTAGTGTTTTGAGCTTGCTTTATTAGTTGAAATCACTATATTTTTGCATTTAGTATGTGACTTTTGAAGTTTTGACCGGCAATTAATTTTTATTTAATATGTTTGTTGAATGCTCTCAGTTTCTGCAAAGCCATTTGGTTGTAACTAAGAGCTTGTTTGGTACAGATTTTCATTTTCTACATTAAATCAATTCTCATTTTCAATCACACATTCTTCAATAAAATAATATTTTCTATCACATCAATTTTTTTTTTTTCTTTTTCAACCACACATTTCTCATCATATCACTATTCAAAAATCAATTCTTCCCCTAAAAATTCCTATTAAACACACTCTAAACCGGTGTTTTGTTAAAGTTGCATATCTTGCAAGCCTTTTAAAAATCAAGTTGACACATTGTTTTGTCCTCTTTCTTTCTAATTATCTTGTCTTTTCATCAGTTGTTATATTCTTGCTACGGGTAATCACTGAAATTTTTCTAAATATTAGATATTTAATGCAACTTGATTTTCAGAATGCACTCCTTGAAAGCTTTCAACTTTGAGTACCGACTGACTGATTTAACGATCATGCTACTTGCACAAAGTAGGTTGACAAATTGGGTTTACAAAGTGATGTGGCAGGAATTTAAAAGACTTAAATGTCATTAATCTATTCTTTAGTTAAATCAAAATTTTTTATTCCAAATAAAGGATAATTTTGATTTTTTTCTCCTAATAAATGGAAAAATTAATTATGCTCGTATTTATTTATATATCTTTTTATCAAAACAATCGTTTAATGTTCGAATTTTATTTTTTATTTTATTAATTTCTCTATTAATTTTAACTTTATTTTCTTTGCAATATAAAGGCACAAGTTTATTTTTATTATTTTTAATAAAATAATCAAGTACAGTATAAAACGTTTTAATTTCTTCTCTTTCTCTTTCGCAGTCAATTTCTAATCTTCGAATAAAAGTAACTAAAACTTCATAAATAGCAGGAGTGCAAATATTAATACAAGTATGTAACATAAATAAGAAAGATCTTACAGTATTGAAGCATAAGGTAAATGCAGATTAATATCAATGAGATTTCCCTCGAGTTTGCTTCCATATGTTTGTATACTCTGATATAAGTGATCGGTTTTGTTTGAGTTTAAGAAAGTGGGTTATGGTCAAACACGACTTTTGCACTCTTACTAATTTTCTCTCTCACTCTTTTGCATATCTCACAATGGATCACACGGAATCACCGTTTTCCTTTCAATTCCTTGTTAAAACATTACCTTGAATGGTAACATGGTTCTCATGGCTTTATCTAACAACGCCTCAAATGCCTACACACGGTAACAAAATACTTGCATTAACCCTCAAGGTTTTCACCATTGGAGTATAAGTAAGATAAGAGTTTTTGAGAAAACAATAAAAATAAAAAGACAGTATTTTCAAACAACTTTAATTTCAAAAATACATCACACTAATATCTCTTACATAAGAGTATACATTCATACTTCGACTACACTCTTGGTACTTTCTCTAAAGAGATTAGAATTCCATATAGATTATCTTATTAGAAGCTTCACTTGAAAGATATGAACTGAAATGGTTACAAGATTTGAAAAACTAGATAGAGATATATGTTTTTCCTTAAGGATTCCATGCCTTTTTCTGAGAATTAGTTTTCAATTTATAGACTCGAAAAGCTCTATAGCTGTCCTTCATTATTATTGTGTTACTGTGTAAGATAGTGGGTATCTTAATGTGGCCTAAAGTTTTTCGTCTTATTATGGAGAATAATTGAGGTAAACCCATAGTTTTTTTTATCAAAAATGCTTTTGATAAAGTAGTGATAAATGAGTCCTCTACTTTTTCACGTCCCTTACTTCTTCATATGAGACTCAAACCACTCATCCAGAAATTCCTTTGGATCAAGAGAGATTGGTGAGCCATCTCCTTCATTGCTACAGCATTCGCACTTATGATTTAGATAACGTTAAAACTGTTTGCACAACTTATTTTTTGTCTTCTGTGTTCCACTAGCGTATCCTCCAAAATATGATTACACCATGTATCCGATAATGCCAATCTTCTTGTTTAATGGGTGCCACAGCTTTGCTGTAAATCAAGTGGTCTTGTGACTCATATACCTAAATTTTTCTGATTTTCTTCAAAAACTTTTTGGATATACTCGAATTGCTCTTTGTATCCCGTGGCTCTATGGAAAGCTGTCATATTTATGACATTTTCTAGTGTAGTTTCATGGATTTCACTCTTCTCAAGCTGAAGATGCTTGGAAGTAATGGCAATCCTTATGACATGGCTAACTGGTAGCAACATATCTTCTTCATTATCCCATTTGGGACTTGCAAAGAAAAACCTGATATACATGTTCTTATGTTTAAGAACTTTACAATATCTCTCAATAGCTCGGACAACACCCTTTGGTAGCATAGAGATTTCTTTTAACGATTTTGATGGGTAAATACAGATTATATTTTCCATCTCAAAAAGAGTACGAACCCAATAAGTTGGGGCTCCTGGATATAGGTTGACTTTATTATACGATCTATACGTGAAAGTTTTCATCCATCCTCCTATACTGGTAAACCAGTAGCATGCAAGATTGAACAATACGTATGCCAAAATAAAATCATCTTTATTTTTGATATCCATAACACCAGAGATGTTACATGCTTTGATAATATTTGAGCTATTCAGCTCTTGTATAGGGATACCATCCTTTGTAAGTGTTTTCTCCTGTGAGGGAGACAAATAAGTATTCTCTTTGACTGATAATTTATGAAGCTTCAATGTTTCTTGTTCAATATAGGCACAATGGCCTTCAGATAATATAGCCTTGTTGGCTTTCTCAAATATTGGCTTTGCAGTAGCCATTTCCAATAGTGTTATCTTGGATTCCATCGCAGCTATCTTTATGTTCATCTCGAACTTCAATACTTTTAGTTACTTCTTGATTTGCTTCATTCCTGGTTAAGAAATTTGGAATAAAATTGTCTTTTCCTTTAATATGGACAATATCAAATTTAAATAGTGCAAACCACATTTGCATTCTAATAAGTGACCTTCTAGCCGCACTTGTTCGAAGTTTGTTTGTCAATAATGGTTTTACTTGAGTATTATTCGTTCTAATAAGAAACTTTTTAGGTAGAAAGTAATGTTCAAATTTTGCTACTCCTTTTTTTACAGCTTATTTGTAAAGTGGAATTTATATTTTACACAATTTTTGATAAATTTTTCAGGATAATTTAATAATCCGATAAAACTTTGTAGCTCTTTCTTGTCTCTTATAACTCCTGGAAATTCTATAATCTTTTTTAATATGAGGTTGTTAAATTATTTTTTCCCCTTTAAAAATATATCATAAGAATTCAATTTCAATTTTAGTTATTTCTGCTTTTCTTAAATTTCTTTTTATAATATGGTTTCTTAGATGGTTTGTGACAACCGAATTGTGGTACAGCTGCTATTTCTCCATAACAATATAAACTTGCTTTCTTACCATGTTTTCTAAATATGTGTTGGTATATAGATTTTCTGCACCATTCAAATATTTTTCTCTTAGCGAATGAAGTTCTCATTCCTAATGTATCAGTTTTATAGTTAGGATCTTCCCATTCTATTTTCTTCCAATAAATTTGATAATCCTCAAATAATTTCCGACCCCATGACCAGGGTAATTTAAGAAAATATCTATTTAGTAATTTTATATCTTCTTCTGATAGATTTCATTCTTTTATGGATTTAAATACTTTGATATATATCTTTTCGAATTTCTTAGTATATTCGTTTAATTCACACATATCACATATTTTTAATAGTTCCATTTCTCTTTCTGCTTGTAAAACTTCTTGAGTGATCATGTCTATTTTAGTTTCTGGTATAACCTCTCCTAAGAGTAAGTGACTAAAGAAATTTTTCATTCGTTTTAAAACTTGTTTAAAGTTTTTAGCATCTAAGCTTTCATTGCTATCAATAGTAATGTTAGATGTTTCTCCATATTTGATTTTATTTTTA